ACAATAAAGTGTGAATGTGATGAAAATCTATGATAATGTATTTTGAAAAACAAGTATCGGCCAACTCTATCTTATATTTTAAAGGTAATGAATATAACAGTCTATTTAATAAATATAATAAAATATATTTAATAAATACAAAACAAAGTCACCTTCACAAGAAACAGAACACACTACGCTTATGCAGATAAGGACGCTTGATAATGAAGAAACTGAATGACTAGTTATGGCATCTTAAGGACGCAAATATAATAGACCTGTGAAGTGTTGATCAGTTTACCGATGTTTCAAAGTATTTAACGAACTGGTTCACCTATTCGCTCGTACATCCTTTCGATTTGCAGAAGCTATCTTGTTACGGGGGGAAAATTTTACGGAATCATCTTACTTTTCAATTATTTACAATGGCGATGCATAGACAATAAAAATGACCCTGGTAAGAATTTAGTTCTAACATTTAACATTGTTGCCGTTAGCTCTCAGTTCAATTTGTATATGAGTTACCTTCAATTGAAAATTGTTATACTATAATGAAATGTACCACGAAACATTGTCAACCATCTTAAAACAGTTGTTGCTTTCTAACATACATTCTATACAATTTGCATGATTGGCGTCCTTGAATAATTCCACTGTAATATAATTTTCCAATTAATTTCCATTGAATTAACGCTGTCACCGAGAAAATTGTGGAGATCCTGCATGACACGGTACTACATAACTTTATTCAAACTCTGTAACATTTTTCAGCAAACATGCTTCCATATTTATAAATAAAAAAGCCTGCCATTGGAATCTAAATAAAATCTTGCTGCTATTAAATACCAACATCAATAACACCTGTATGTTATATATTTTAATTTGTTTCATAGCTGTATTGATCAAATGGATGAATAAAGAATTGATTGCTTGAGTAAATCTGGGCAGTAGAAGTCACCAACGTCGTAGTACAGCTGCCGTAATGAGACATGGCCGGATAGAAGCCCCTTCCTCCCGAATTTATCTCTACATAAGCTGCCTTTTACATATCTACAAGAACCCAAATGGCATTTTAATATCCATTTATTGTTTACCCCTCAATCCGTACTACGCAAAATTGCAAACAAAAGTTTCTATTCCTTTTTTTCCTAATACTTTGTCAAACACCAACCCAAACTTTACGCAGATACGATTCCTCCCACCGGCCATGACTCAGTCCGGTGGCTGTAATTGTGCCTAAAAGTTCTCTTTATAATGGTGGTTTATCTTTCAGGAAAGGCATGTCTGTCCTCCTCAATGGCCCCTGATGAAGGATTGGCTCTTTTCACCGAACTTGACAGAGCTCGACAGTGCTTCGTCCTCGATACCGAATTACATCTAATTTATCTCATCACACCCTATAGTGCATGCCATTCTTGGGGTTCAATCGATTGGATGTTTTTTCTTGATCTATGGGAAAAGCTTCCTCTAACAATGAAGAAAGTTGGAGAACTCGTAGGAGTTCAAGAATCTTATATTGTTAATGCTACAAGAGGAAAAGTGCAGACAAACACCAACAAATTATACCATAAATTTCTTGTGCACAAACGATTTTTTGTGGCTCTGGCTCTGCAAGACTTGGTTAATGAGAAACCGTTGAATTGGGTGTGTAACAAATTCACATGTAATAGAGGTATGCTACAATCCTTGCAGCAATCTGCTTCATCATTTGCCGGGATGGTTACTTGCTTCAGTAGAGAATTGGGTTGGAATAATGTGGAGCTGCTCATATCACAATTCCAAGATCGAATGCAGTTTGGTGTTAGCAGAGATTTGCTCGATTTGATGCACTTACCTATACTTAATGGAAAAATTGCTAGAACTCTCTATAATGCTGGCATTGAGACTGTGATACAATTAGCAAATTCAAATGTTTCAACAATAGAAAGTATTTTACACAAAGTTATCCCGTTTGAAACAGAAAAAGGACGTGAGGGTGAATCAGAGTTCGAGTACAAGCAAAGAAATAAATATAGAAATATATGGGTAACGGGAAAAGAGGGAATGACTGAAAGAGAGGCAGCAGAAATGTTTGTTGCAGATGCAAGAAATTATTTGAAATTGGAGATTGGTTTGGCAGAAGCTAAATGGGAAAACAGTCTGGGAGTTTGTGACTCAGATCTGTTGGGAGGGAGATGTCTAAGCAACGACAAGGTGAGTTGATTTTTTTTTCATTCAATGATGATAGTGTGATTGGCTATATATAACTGACAGATATGATCCTAGTAATGTACGTTTCTTGATGTGATTTTCGCGCATAATCACGTTATACTGAGCATTGGAAATCAACTACGCAACTGGAATGTATTGGAATAGAAAAATTCAATCTAGCAGCATCCTTTTGTCGTACAGAAAACAAACATAGGGGAAGTGCTATACAGGGTGTAACTGAATAAGTGTAAAACATTTAAGGAGGTGATTCCTCATCGAAAAAAAGATAGGATCTTTCATATAAAGAAACTTCATTGGAGCATTCCTTGTTAAGATACATCCCCTTAAAGGGGGTACATAAAATGTGTATAACAATTGTTTTCACAAGCACTGAAGAAGTTACAATATTGAAATTAACCTGACGTTTTGTACTATCAAAAAGACACTTAGCCAGTAATTTATTTGGTTTGCCCCATGGTTGTAAGGGGTGGAAAACGCAAAACCTAAAATTTATTTCCAATGTAACTTATTGTCTTATTATTTGTTTACCATTTAAAAATTTATTTCCGATAGCCTGTTTCATTCTTAACAAAAAATGT